CCTGTCCCCAGTGACACACCTCCCCTCCAACAAGACTGTAACTTCTAATCCAACCAAGCAGTTCCATCAACTAGGATAAAGTATTAAAACAGATGTACCTATGGGGGCCATTGGTATTCCATCCAGCATAAATTTCTGTATCTCTCCTTAGTGTCCCTAAGCTAGGGTTGATGCAGTAACAGAGTCTGGAACCTGGCAGACATGGAAATGTTGCTCTGGCTTAAACTCCCTTCTCTAATGCCCTTTCTAGACACTTCCCATTCACTAGTTAAATCAGGATCTAATGACTACTTCCACTTGACTTGGGGTGTATGTTTTTAAGTAATTGCTTACTATGTTTGGGAATATATGAGTAATTCTGCAGCCAATGTTTGGTATAATGTTTCCTGGCAGTAAAAACAAATAAAAGTGACTTGTTTCCCTGATATGACTGCAACTTTAAACCTTTACCATACTCTTGTAAATCAATCAAGGTTTGGGTGTGTTCATCAGCACTGTCATATAAGATCAGTTTCTTCAGTGTATGGGTTGGTGTTGGAAGACTAGAACTTAGGATACCAATAAAATTATTAATTGACAAAACCCTTGCCCTCCATGGCAATACCCTTTCTGTGTTAAAGCAATTTTTGGAATAGTTCAGGAAGAAGAAATAAGGTGAAACAAATTAAGAAGAATAATATGGATTTTTGGGCCACCTTAAGTAAAAGTAAAGCACATATTTAGTTTAATTCCCTGTGAAAAACTAAGCTACTGAAGACATTACATTTGTAGGTGATTTTACCATCAAAGATCAAGAGAGATTTAGATTTACATCTGCTGAATCATATAAACAGTCGTGAAAAAGTGTTCAAGTGCTTCCTGGACTTGGTTTCATATACTGTTGACGATGTCCTGTATTTTCTGACTTCCCACTGAATGCATAGCAATTACACCTGTAAGATCCAAACATGACCTGTAGGGACAATCTCACTGAATTACGCCTTCTGTGTATTTATGACTCAGATTTCTACATAAATGAAGTGCTTGTACCCCATCCTTCACTGTGCAGCCTTGTTAGAAATGGCCTCTACACTGTTACACACTTGCATACCTTTGGTGTGTTTAGAGAATTTGTGTTACTTAAAAGCTAAAAACAGAAGAAAGAAAAGAGAGAGAGAAAGAGAGGTAAGGGGTAAGAGAGGGAGCGAGGGATGGAGGAAGGGAGGAAGGAATGATGGAAGGGAGAAAACATGAAAGTTAGAAATAGTTCAAGGAAAATATATTGCTAGCAGTTAAATTATATAGTTGAAAGTTAAAAACGTGTGGAACTAAATATTAACCAAATATAGTGACAAGGACAACTTAGTTTCAACAAAATGTTGCATAGCTCACATTTCTCTGAAGATATGTAAAAGATGAAATCACTTAGTGAGAAAATGCCTAGTAAATGGGAGTTTGTCCCTTCATTTTTACCTGAACATCTGGCAACCAAGCATTTTGAATATTAATTGCCGATTTACAATTAAATTCATTGGAAAAAGGCTGCATACATTAATTAAAATTATAATTGCATGCCTAACTTTTGCATGTGGACTTTGTAGGACATATGTCATCTTAGAGTTATAAGCCCTGTCTAAATGTGCAATAAATTTGAGTCAATGTGACCATTTCACAATGAGTCAATGTCCAGTTCCCATATTCTCAAGTCCAAAGTGATGTGATTTCTCTCACAAATCTGAGTCTGAATTATTTGAACCACTTTGTATTGTGAACCATAAAAATAGATGGTTACATGTCTAAATGTGCCTCTTTTGCATTTCTACAACCTGAGAACCAGATCGGTTTAAAAAATAAAATTTAACAGCCTTTAATTTGTCATGTGGATCTGATTCTATGTGTTCTTTATTGCCTCCATATATTTATCAAAGCGAAACATAAAATGGTTGCAATAATGGAGAATTTAAAGTATCTTTTGCACATGAGCAGTAATGCTAACTAATATGGTGAATAAAGGTTGAATGTAAATTCTCAGGATTTCTGTTTCTTTAAGTTTTTCTAAAACTACGTGGGTTTTCTTTTATTTGGTTTAAACAATATTCACAGTACAGTATGATGCACTCTGATAGGCAGAATGGGAACCAAGGGGAATAACCATTTGCATGCAACCCTTATCCTCACATATTAATTTAATTTTCGAACTCTAATATAATATTTAGATCACAAAACCTGCAAATGTGAACCCTGGGCTAATCATGATCCAGTATACCCACTCAGAGCTAACGCAGGTGTAGCATGTGCCAGTTCAGTAGAGACATATGAGTTGCTGTGGAGCCCACTCCTTCCTTGTCTCTTGACTCTCTCCCCTCCCTTCCTCTTGCTGCCTGGCTTAGGTCTTCACATACACTCCTTTACCGTGGTTCTCCCAACAGTACCAGCATTTTATTATCCATTCCTAGATTCCCCTGCCCATAAAATAAAGCTGGCAATGTCACTGCACCGATCACAAACTTCTTGCAGTTTTGTGTCAATCTTTACTTTTAACTCTGAAATCCAGGTTTTCAAATAGGCCTCACCCAGATTGTTAATTCATATTCAGCATGTTGCTATGCCATCTGAACTGCCACAGAATGCACTAAGCCAACTCTTGGCTTTCTACTAATTATCCATTAATATGCCACCTCTTTTCAAGCCTTTTGAATTCATTGAAGCAAAATTAGTTGTTACTTATGAATCCTTACACAATACTTATATGTCATTTAGCTAACATTATAATTGTTATTGAAATGTCTTCCAGGAATTTTGCGACATTCTTCATAGTTTGAGCCTAATATAACATGAGTAGTTGTGCTTGCATAGTTAGAACTTAACACAGTAGCGTGTGGAGGTGAATGGTCCTTTGGAACCCTTGTTAAATGAGTGAACAAACTAATGACTCAATCCACAAATGTCTGGAGACAGAGCTAACACACAAAAAAAAAGTTAAACACTTGCCAACCGTAGAAAACTAATTCCAAAAAGCAAAGACATAGAACTCTTGATCAAAATAATTCTATTTAGGCGTAAAATCCTGTATGAGTTAACACAAATATTATTTTAAAGGATGTCTTGAGGGAACCTGACATAAACTATTATTTTCTTCTCATCATATTGAAGGTGGTAGTTTTATCAGAATGAGTCAATAAGAATTTAACTTGAAATTTTATATAACTTCAGTTAATGTAAATTGGAATATAGACAGAGGTCCACAGCTTGCAATATGCTAGTTTCCCTTATTAATACTTTTCCAAATATGTGATATCATTCCATAAAGTAATGAAGATGTTCCTGGAGAAAAGTAATAGTTTATTGTACCAAGAACCTACGAAATGTGACACCAACAACTTTGTTCTTCAGCCCACTGTCTTGCATGTGGTTGATACAAAAAGAACTTATGTAAATTTTGTAAGCAAATAAAACCTATGTAATCCTAAACATTACTGAGTGAATCTAGATTATGTAAGATTAACTTCATATTCTATAACTCTGTATCAGAAATTTTATTTCAATAGATCATAATAGTAAGTGCAGCATTAAGCTGCATGTTATATTTCCAACAATGACTATTCAATAAATTAGTGATGATATCTACATAATATCATCATGTCAAAATGTTTCACAAAGTAATAAAATGGTAGCATATCAATATTTATAAGAAAAACAAGAAATTCATGTATACATATACTCACATATTATATCAAAATTTCAACATTATTTTGATATGTGAATATGTGTACATCATTTTATCTCTATTTTCTTTTAATTGAAGGAATATTCCTTATCAGAAATGTGAATAGTTAAAATTTACATTTATTCATAAGAAAGAATGTTAATGTATTTTAGATAATATAGCAATCTAGCCAAACTCTGTAAGGTTATAGTAAGTGATCATAAATTTGATTACTTGGTACAAGAGATAAATATATAATCATAGAATGACAAGAAAGAAAATATAATAGTACTTTCAGATATGTTCCTTTTAGCTTCTGAGTGTTATTTTTCTTGCTTAATGTTTTCAGATTATATCATGATTTCCTACTACTTATTTTTCATATGAGAAAATATATTATCTGTTATAACAATGGTTTGTGTCATAAAATTTAGCTTTATGGTATCAAGTAGTTTTGCTTTTAATCCTTTCCATATGTAAAAAACACATAGCTATCTATATATTTTTTAAGTTATTGTATATTTGTCTCTTTTTTCCTCTGAAAATTTCAGAGATTTGCTGTTTTTTTCTCCTTATGGTTATAGATTTGATAGTTCAAAATCAAGTTGCTTAAGACACAAGAACATTAAGTATTAAGACCATTTTCAAAATCTGATCTACCAACAGATAAAAATCAAAAATAAGCATGGCTCTGTAGCATTAGCGCATTCCTGTAATCTCTACAGGGGGGCTGTCATGCTATTTGACATTAGCACTTGAGTTTTGAAGTTACTTGACTATCCACTGCGTTTTCGATATCATATCACGTGTCCCCAAATGCTGCCTGTTATTTTATGAGTCAAATATTGATTTGTTTTATGTCAACTTGGCACAAGCCAGAGTTATTTGAGAAGACCCTCAATTGAGATTCTCTATAACATATTCCTATAAACAAGTCTTTAGCAAGTTTTCTTAAACAGTGAAGGATTGGAGAGAACCCAGACGACTGTGGGTGGTGCCAACGCTGAGAAAAGTGGTCCTGGGGTATAAAAGAAAGCAGGTTGATCAAGTTATAGAGAGTAAGCCAGCTTCTGTTTCAGTTCCCATCTCCACACTGAATTCCTGTCCTGACTTCCTTCAGTGATGGAGGGTAATGTGGGAGTGTATTCAATATTTTTGGTATCACATGTCTTTTCTTTCTCAAATCTCTTATACTCCTAGTGTTTTATTACAGCAATGTAAACCCTAACAAAGATAGAAGGCAAGAAAATCAGATAATTTTTTTCAATCCCTTTGTATATGATGACTGTCTATGCTATTTCTTTCCTTTTTGCAGAATGAAGAACAAATTTTGGTATTTTGAGTTTGGCACATCTGAAACCTTCTCAGCCACCTGCAAGAAGCTACATGAATCCGTAGAAATAGAAGTAAGAAAATATGCATTCACTTTTGTAACAGTATAAAGTGTCCTGTGTTTGCTTTCTTGGTGCCGTGGTATGGCCCCTATTAAGAAATATACTTCCAGCAATACATATAGTTTACTCGAGATTGCAAAATGTGACTTTTGCCACTCATAATGAATGTATCAATATCTGAAATTAAACTTAAGGATGGATGCAAGTTGTTTAAAAACATAAATAAAGATGGAATAAGCTTTGGAAAGCAGAGTGCATTGTGTATAGCATGAAGGAAAGACGTCAAATTAAAAATACAGTTGATGAAAACAAATAAATTGCAAAAAATACATGTTCAGGAATTATTATCTTACAACTTTAAGGCATAGTGCACTGAAAGTCTCCTTACTTTCACAGACAAATGTTAAAACTTATCTTTCCCCATTCCATTTCAATCATTAGTTGGTTTCTCAGCTCAGAAGGTTGCTAGTCCCCATTACAGATATAGAATGTGAAAGCCCCAAGAAAAAGAGCAAAGATAAGAAAAGACGCTTCAGAAAGCTTTGGAACAAATAGGTCCACCAGAAATATCTAGACTTTGTAACACTCAAAAAGTTTTAGAACATACTCTAAATGAAATGATATATTGAGGTATTTTTAAAGACTAAAGAAAAGTTTTATTTTGTTGACTAGTAAAGTACTCTATGTGCCCAGTGATGGCACACTTCTTTAATCCCAGGACTGGGGAGGCAGAGGCAGGTGAATCTCTGTGAGTTCAAGACCACCCTGGTCTACAGAGTGAGTTCCAGGACAGCCAGGATTGTTTCATGGAGAAACCCTGTCTCAAGAAAACAAAAACAAAAAGAAAAAAAAAACCAGAATAAAGCAAAACAAAAAACACCAAGGTCACTTTGTGTTTTCTTGTTTTGTATGTGTGGTTTGTATGTATACTTGCCCGTGTGTATTTACACGTGAATGTGGAAGCCAGAGGATGACGTAGGGAGTCATCCTTTGTCACTGTCCATCGTATTTCATTGGGAAAGAGGCAGACTTCTGGCCAGCCAGCTTTAGAGCTCTGCCTGTCTCTGCCTCTGCAGCCCTGGATCGAAAGTGCACACAGTGCACCCGGCTTACCCTACGGGTGTAAGGAACCCAACCTCAAGCAGCCAGGCTCATGAAGCAAGCTCTTTTCCCACCGATCCATCCCTCCAGCTCCTAATATGTCACTAGCTATGTAGTCATTATGCATGTACACATAAACTTATTTTTAAATTATACTATCACTTTAATTTTCAAATTCACAATTTCATAGAACTGCCTTATATTTTAGATTCTAAGCAGATTTGTTCTCAAAAAAAAAAAACCAAAAGCTACGAGGCTGGAGAGATGGCTCAGCAGTTAAGAGCACTGGTTGTTCTTCCAGAGGCCCTGAGTTCAATTCCCAGCAACCACATGGTGGCTCACAGCCATCTGTAATGAGATCTGGTGCCCTCTTTTGGCCTGTAGGCATGCATGCAGGCGAAACACTGCATACATAAGTAAATATTTTTGAAAAAGAAAGGGGGCTGGAGAGATGGCTCAGTGGTTAAAAGCACTGACTGTTCTTCCAAAGGTCCTGAGTTCAATTCCCAGAAACCACATGGTGGCTCATAACCACCTTGAATGAGCTCTGATGCCCTCTGCTGGCATGCAGGCAGAAGATTGTATACATAATAAATGAATAAAATATTTTAAAAAGAAAGAAAGCTATGCTCTAAGAAGACCTGTGGCATAATCCAAACTCGTGCTTTCTGTAGTATAACTGAAGACCCTAACCCTTCCTGTGTCTGCTCCTTGGTGCCTCTCCCTGAGCAGTCCATAGAGCAATACTATGCATGTCACAAAGGTCAGAATTTCCAAGAAGATTTCATCAAATAGCAATGAGAATTTGAATGAAAATACTTGTAGAGTACATTGATTTTTAAAGCTCTAAATACAGCTTAAATGGGTGTTAATGTTTCATAACAATGCTTTCCATCTTACCAGATCAGTGACTGTGCAGGAGACCCCTCGCAAAATCTGGACAGGAACTAAATTACATAGCTCTGGGTTCTGCTTTTCCATGTTTTCTTAGTCTGGCTTTCTGTTTGTGCATTTCTTGCTTACTCAAAGAACCACTACTATAGCATCAAGAAATTGGAGTCAATACCGTGTGTTCTTTCCATTATATCATTGCATATCATGTGTGTGTATGTGTATGTGTGTGTGTGTGTGTGTGTGTGTGTGTGTGTGTGTGTGTGTGGATAGTAATGCCAAGCGTGCCTTTCTGCTCACATTTTAATGAATCCAGTCTATCATATTAGCAAAATATGACTTTCTACCCTCAAGGTTACTTCATAATTAAATATAAGAAATCAGCAGTTCGGAAATTTGATTCTGCTTGCTATTGCTTCCTATGTGGCCTAAAATCATACCAACTATGGTTTGAAAAATGTCTAATGAGGAATAAACCATGGTAGTAACAATAGAACCTCAAGCAATGGTTGTGTGTTTTACTGGCAGCTACTTCAAAACAGGCCATTTTCTGTGGGTATGTTTGTGTCACAATGCTCTTTCCTGCAGGGAGCTCCTTCTGAAAAGAGAAAATGTTTGGGACGACATAAATATCCCAGGAAAGTGTTCCATAATAACTGCTAAAATGCATGTATTATTAAAATCTACCTTATGTCTAGTACTAAGCAATGCACCTGCATTATCTGGCTTAATCATCATACACACAGTATGAATCAAAGATATACTATAAAATCTTCATTGCACAGCTAAATATTTTAATAAATTAGAAGAAAACAATTATGTTATTGCCAGAACAATTAAAAATGAGAAAACAAATCAATACTATATACATGTAAATGCAGAGGGTGAAGCACTGACTTAAAAATTAGTAGTTTCAATTGTAAGAATCTTAGTTATCTCCTAACTTTATCACAGAAGGCAAAAATATTAATAAAAGGTTTTCTGTTTTTCTTCCTGTGCCAAAGTCAATGAGAGAATTAGGATGCCCATTCCTTAAAACAGTCAGTCTTTCGGGTGTTAGTGAGACTAGGAAGGTAGTAAAAGGAAGGTAGTAAATGTTAAAGCCAAGATAAATACTGAGATTTTTTTCGAAAATAATTCAGTAATATTGAGAACTAACAAAAGCAAGAGCTTCATGACTATAAAAGCAACCACAGGACTTACTTATTAACATGGGAAACCGAATTTTTAAAAGCATTAGGCTGTTGCCCATAGTAGTCTCAGCCATCCTGTCCTAGCACTAAGATTTCCTGTCAATGTTTTATGCTTCATTGAGTAAAATTATTAATAACTTTACTGACACAGGCATAAAAGCTGACTCATTATAGAAAAAATAAAATCATTGATTATATCTCATCAAATTTAAAATCTGCATTCTCAGTTCTCAGATCTAAGGTTAGATACGTATTGACAGAAAAAAAATGCAATTGTTCTTTTAGGTACTTTGTGATGGACATAAGATCCCTGCAACGGCTTCAGAGTGACACTCTAAATGTGCTCCCCCCACAGTCGATGTTACTGACCTTGTTGTACTTAACAAAAATATTCGGAATTCGTGGTTGAGGCTCTTGGCTTTTAAGCCTTTGCTTTATTTTCTCTGCACCTACTTTTCACAAAACCATAAATCCTCAAAGCATATGAGAACATTACACGACACGGACTTACTCCGTGTTTACATTCATAGCCTTCACCTCGGCTTTATTTTCATAAACTCAACTGGTGAGCTGCAACTCCCAGGCCATCAGCACCAGCATGGAGCTTTCCAGACTAATGAACATGATGTCAAAGCAAACAGAGGAGTGTGGCCTGGGATTGAGAGCCAGTGAAACTAAACCATTCATAGACACCAACGTATTTAAGTACTTTGTCCTGCGCTCAGAAAGGCAACCATGCTCTCCATCACTCCTTGTTCTTTAGGACTGCTGGTTTTCTTGCTCCCCACCCTCCCTGCATTGTCAGAGAATGACTAGCTCGTTTCCTTCAAACCATACATGGCATTGACTGTGAGGAGGGAAACAACCCTGGTAGTACACGCTAGTGCATCTCCATTGTCTCACCTAGCTCCATTTGTTCAATTAGGCAGAAGAAAGACCTTGCAGCATGCTCTGCGTTTCTGCCGATGAACAAAGGAATCTTCCTTCACTAATTCGGAAAGTAACTTGTCACAGCAGGGTCCTAAGGCCTAGTCACATAATTGTCTTAGTGTACTACCTGCTGTGTTCAATATCGAGTGGAAATGGAAGCCAGGCCCCAGCTCCAGCTTACTTCACAATTCTTCTGTTATTTAAATGATTTTAGTCAGTTTGGGGGAAGCCAGACCTTTATAAATTAACAGCAGGGAAATACCAAAGGTGTCAGATTGCATATTTATCATCTTTTTCGTGTAATACTTAAATATGTATTAAGAAGTGACTGACATAAATTAGGCAGTTTTCAGAAGCCACAGGCCGTGGCTTGTAGAGGACCCCCTTCTGCTTGACATTTCATCCTTGTCAAAGATCAAATTATTTTAATTTAGGCTGCAAATTATAAGGAATGAAGACTTCTTTGTGGGAATTCCCTGTGGTAATCTGACTTTTGTTGTTACTGCTGCTTGTCAGTGTGCAAAAGATATAATATGCATGCAAATAAGGTTAAAAAATATGTACTATCTAATTATCCAGCCACTGCGTTCCACTTGAAGACAGTGGGAGGCCTGACACACAGTATGTGTTTGATTCATTGAGGCCTGCAGGGTATTTACACAAGATTACTTTTAATTATGAAATTAATATCTGTTTATCTAGAATATATAGCAGTGAGTGAGTATACACAAGAGCAGATTTCTTTAGTAAAAAGAAGTGATCTTAATTTACTATGTCAAAAGGAAGGAAAAGCACTTGTTTCTGGAAAAAATGAATCATATCATCCAGAGCTGGGTCCACTTTAGTGAAACAAACTGAGTGAGAGTTTGATGCTTTCTTCAGCGTGGTTTCTTCCTCTGCAGATGGGTTCAAGATGCCTCACTTTATCCCATCCCATTGTTCCTCTGGTGAGCGTGATGCAGCCCTAGCTTCAGAAAGGTGAAGCAAGTGTGGAGAAAGACAGGGTTCCATTTGCTTTGCTGCAGGTTTTGTGGCATCTCCAGTTCCATGGGAATCAAAGTTAGCTTTTAAGTTCGTGATGACTTAATCATTGTAGGACCTGGTGGCTGTAGCAGCCGTTTGCGGAGAAATTGATAGACACAAGTTAAAGGCTTGTCCCTAACAGGGTGCATTGAAAGAATTTCAAATTGTATCTCTTCTTCTTGGCTTATAATAGAAAATGCAAGAATAATTTTTGAGATACTTATAATGATAGTCATTTTGGAAAATCTAAAGGAAAAAAAGTTGTATCTTAATGACTTCAGAAGAGGGAGTTGGAGACATGCTTAGTGGTTAAAACACCTTACTGCTCTTCAAGAGACCTGGAGTTGGACTTCCAGCACCCATTTTCCTCAGGTCACAAGCAACTGGAACTCTACCACAGAGGCTGGCCTCCATGGTCACATACATCCACACAAATAGTGTGTGTGTGTGTGTGTGTGTGTGTGTGTGTGTGTGTGATGGGTGGGATATATGTGACCACTCTTTGGTACTAACATCACTTTTCCTTCAGGAGTGTCTATCAAGCCATTTCACTCTGTGACAGAAAGAAAGAATTGAAAGAAGGAACAAAGGAAGGAAAGAGAGAAGGAAGAAAGAAAGGAAGGGAGGAAGGAAGGAAGGAAGGGAGGAAGGAAGGAAGGAAGGAAAGAAGGAAGGCAAGTAAAAGGAAAGAAAACCAAGCAAGGCATAGAAGCAGGATGATCAGGAGTTCAAATTCATAATTCAAAAGATGCACGATCTTAATTTCTGCATTTCTAAGCTTGACCTCCTTGGCCCACAATTTGCAATTGTAGTTAAAGAAAACATGAGCATGTTTCTCTCCCAAAGGATTTCTATAAAGCAGGACACATTGCTGGTGTGGTTAGACCATTTGTAATAATTATGAGTGGTAACTGGCTAATGTTCCTGCATTTTCTTCTTTGTATTGAGATGAGCTTAAATAGCTTTATTAAAAGACAAGCAAGTAAATAACCAATCAAAAAGAGATGAAATACCTATCCCTCTCTCTCTGTCTCTCTGTCTTTTCTCTCTCCAGTGTGATGGAGTCCAGATAGATTTAATAAACATCTCTCTGGAAGGAATTGCAATTTTGAATATCCCAAGCATGCATGGAGGATCAAATCTTTGGGGAGAATCTAAAAAAAAAAGAAGCCATCGACGGATCGAGAAAAAAGGCTCTGACAAAAGACCCACGCTCACAGACGCCAAAGAGCTTAAGTTTGCAAGTCAAGGTAAGGTTCCAAGATTATATGGTAAGTTGTTTATGACTCTGTTCCAAGGGCTAACTTAAAGAAAAGCCCTAACAACCCTATATGTGATTACATTGCAGTGACTCTAAAATCATATAAATTGTTTATGTTTTACCTCTTTCCTAGTCTTTCTTTGGTGAGAGACTTTTTTCCACAGAAAAGAAAATGTGAAAGTAAAATTGAGAATACCTCACACTGAGCTCTTTTGGAATGGGATCATCTTTGTCAATGTTTAAGTGGTTGTGCCAAGGACCCAGCTGTTTTGTAAAAGACTTTATTCTTGTCGCTTCAGTCAAGATATGAGATTCAAATCACCCAATATTAAGTTACCATTCCAAGTAATATATATATATATATACATGATAATTCTTTGCAGTCATACAATTTATTTTTATCTGCTGCTATTTTTCAGAAAGTTCATATCAACCATTAAGGGACCTGAGAAACAGGGAGCAACGCCTACATGGTTATAGGAATATTTTTTGACCCACTATAACATAGTTTTCTTTGTGACAGACAACGAATTCTTGATAGATGTTATAATCACAGACACAAAGTAGGGATAGTCCCCATAGTTTATGTATAAGAGCCTATAGTACTTTAACTTAAAAGCATACCTAATATTATTAATAGCACTAAGCATAAAGACACCTTGTTAATACAGGCATGAGTTCACTCCCTGCCCTAAAATTCTGTTATACTGGTAGCTAAGGCAGGAGGCTTACCATGAATTTGAACACATCTTTAGCTGAATAGTGGGTTTTGTAGACTCAGACCCTATCAAATAAATAACACATGAATACAAATTCTACTGTCTCTGTGTAACAAAAGCAAAATATGAAGAGGTTGTAGCATTAAAGCCTCGGTATAAGTAGATCAATACCTTTTGAAAAGATTGGTAGGTTTGATAGTTTCTTCTATAGCTGGCTCTCATTTAGGCTTTGAACAATGACTTCTGTGAAATTTAGTATTACCACGTGACAAAGGTTAAATGAAAGAGTGTTATACATCCTCCAAAAGACAAACTTACCATAACTGGTGACAGGAAATTTGAGCAACAAATCAATTAAAACATTCCATAATAAGGTTCAGTACAACTATAAGAAATGCTATAAAACAGAATTTTGAACACTAAATATATGGAAAAATCTGCAGCTTTTTCTATAAGAGAATATGTATAATTATTATTTTGTATAAATGTTGGCATAAATGATGCATTTATACTAAATACCAATATAAATATGAGTAAATTTTATGGTTATTGGTGAAGATTCTAACTATTAGAATTATCTTAAAACCTTAGCAAGATCAAGTAAAAACAGAAACCCTCTAATTATCCAAATCATGTGTTATTATATAGTGCAATGCATTCAATGTTTTTAAGTTACAAATACTTTTTTTACGCATGTGCTTTATTATATATAGGGATTTTTTCATGTTTCTTTGTTATTCTGTTATTATACTGTAGTAAATAGCATGTTCTTGCCACGTCTCTATTCCTAACATCACCCTAGTTGGTTTTCAGTGGCTTGGCTGACAGCTACCCTCACCACTGAGCTTTGCAAGTTTCTAAAGCTCGTGGCTGTACTCTCCCCAGGCAGGCATGTGAAAAGGCACTCCTCTATTGCTCTTCACAGAACTATGGGACACCTACCGTTTTCTTGGTCTCACAACTGCACACCATTAACTTTTACTTTAAGATTGTGTGCTTGAAACAAAGCCACAAAGATGCCAGCCACAGTTGTTCTCATAGACCCACAGTAAAAAGCTGCTTCTCTTTATCCTATTCCTCCCTTCCTGTTGTGGAACTATCAGAGCCTGGCTTGCACACATAAGGAGAACGTGATCACACATGAGATTGTGGCTCAGAAATACATTTTCATATTGTGGCTCTTGACAATTTTCCTATGAATGGTAAGAGAAGTGTGTATAAGATCGATAATGCTCACATGTCTGCTTCCCTTTGTTATGTCACTGTGCTTACAGGCCTGACCTAGCTGCATTTCCAGACAAACCTTTAAAGTGAATAATTAAAAACCAATTACTAGAGTCTTTCCTTTATGTTGACTTTAGAAAGTAAAAATTGTCATTTTGTTGTGTTTTGCAACTCTGTAGCTAAACATGTCTCAAAATCCTCCTAGGTTTGGGTTTAACATTTATTCTGTTACATTGAAGTGTTGTACTTAATGTGAAAAATAAACATCCTAATACAAATAACAATATGTACCCCTTTTCTGAATAGTAATATTCTATTACTTTATTTTTTAACTTCTTGATACAGAGACAGCTGTGTTATTAAGTGTGTCAGAGTTACTATGAAAGCCTTTTTTGTGCTTTTTAAATTTGTTTTTATGAACACCCTCAGAATTTATCATTGTGTTTCCATCCTCTCCCACATCTCCTCCCAGATCCACTTCCCATCCCAACTTTGTGCCCTCATTATTCTTAAAACTCTGTTAAAAAATCCCGGTAGTTTTGTTTATATTCTCTTAGGTGTGTGGTCATACACAGGAGTGTGTTAGACCTATCAGGGATCAGCTTGCTGTAGGAGGCTAAATGCCTCTCCCCCCTGGTACCTATAAATTATCAGTAATAATTCCTCAGGTACTGGGGAGGTTTCATGCCTACTTTCCCCTTCCACATAGGTAATTTATCTGGCTTGAGCACACTGTCACAGCCACTGTGAGTATGTTTATGTCTGAAAAACATTGTTTCTTTGTAGTTATCCACCATCTTTGGCTCCTACATCTTTTGTCCCATCACTTGCAATGATCACGGACACCTGGAAAGAAATGGAGATGATACAGATGTCCCATTTAGGGCTGAGAGCTCTGCCATCACTTCTTTTTCTCTATCTTGGCCAGTTGGTTCTCTGGGATCATCATCATTTATTGCAAAATGAACCTTCCACACTGAAGATTAAGAGACACAGTGACAGCAGTCAGTGTTGCTTTAGATGTGGTGACATTTTGAACCCAGATCAATAATTTCTATACTTCTAAAATACCTAAGTGAAGCAGTGGAAAACTGATAACTTGGAAACACTTCATTGTAATGTGCCCTGCTAGGTTTACTAAATATCTACTTGTCTTTTAATCGTTTAGGTTTATGTCACTGTCTTAAAATAATAATAACAATAGTAATAATGTGTTCTGCAACCTCTCAGGCTTCCCTCTGTACAAATGGACTAGAGTTATCAGTTGGGTTTTACTCCGGTTTTGGGAAGTGATGCTGGTTTTTGTATTTTTAACTTTGGAAAAAGTTTGGGATCCCAGGAAGCATAAAGTAGTGTATCACTAAGTTCATATAATATAGAGAAAATACTTAAGAAAAAGAATTGAGAAAGTTTGCACATATTTAAAACACACTTAAAGAACTGTCATAAAACAAGAGTGCAAGGCTGGGTTTGGTTCATGTAGCCCTGAGTTCTTCCTTCCACCTGCCCAGGACAGGAGACGCCAGGCAGTTACCTCGCTTGCAGCCTTTGAGAGCACCCATGAGATCAAAATATTTTCAGTCTGTGTTTTGGTTGAGAATTCTGCTGCTGACTTAATTCAGAGTTGAACAAAATTATAAGTAATTTGCTTAATTATATTATCATTCCATTGAGACACAGTGAACTATTTGGATACAGTTCTGAAGCATGCACACACATTCTCCTCATTAAGCACACATTCTCTTTATGTGTGTTTACAGATACAAACGAGTGTATTAAATACAGACGGCACTGCCTTTAAGCAGAGCTATAGAGCAGGCCACGCTCTTTCTTGTCCTGCCCTTAATGCTTAATCCTCCCATGCCTCTGCAGCTGCTGAGTTCATCTGTACCATCCCCTCTTCTAAATTAACCTGAGAGAGATGTCTAATAAATTCACTAGCATTAATGTATAAATGACTGATTGCAGACAAAAGGAGAGGTATTTGCATTTTAAGAGACATAAAGGCCTTCAGCTAAAACATTATTTTTCATCCTGTATTCCAGTGAGTTATAGCTGTGAATCTTCAGCAGTTCTTAAAGACTTACTTCAAATCCACTGCAGTATTTTGGAAAAAAAATAAAAGAAAACTGTAATAAAAATAAATTATTTCCATGAATAATTGTTTCCCATGTTAGTTATCCTCAAATTATGAATGGACTTTGGATGGTCTTCCTACTCTCCTTCCTTTTTGTTTCTTGTCTCCTCAATTAGGGAAATAGATAAGCAGGTAGATTGAATAGTTAGATTTTCAGGGAGAAACAAATTATTCTTCCCACACACTTATTTATATATGCACACATATCACCAAACTTGGAAAAGCAATGATCATTTAAAAATAATGTATCTTTGAATATTTATTGGATGAAATGTAAATGTACTACACATTGTCACCATAGTTCACATGAGCCACCTTCAATTAAAAGACCAAATATTCAGATACTTTTGTCTGTCACAGATCTAAATGGAAGAAAACAATCTAAGTGCAAGCAAAATCAAGCAACACCAGCATTTAAAGGGAAGAGAAGATATGTTGGTTATAGTACTGGTGCTCATAAAGAAATTGTGTTATTTAGCCGGGCGGTGGTGGCGCACGCCTTTAATCCCAGCACTCAGGAAGCAGAGGCAAGCGGATCTCTGTGAGTTCGAGGCCAGGCTGGACCGACAGCCTCCAAAACAATACAGAGAAACCCTGTCTCATAAATACCAAAAAAAAAGAAATTGTGTTATTTAACTATTTCCAACAAATAATAAGTTTTTTCTCATTCATATTCCAAGTATGTGACCACAGGGTAGATTTGATTTAAGTATGTTCACCAGTGAACTTCTTGTAAGGAGCCAGGCATAAGACTGAAATTCTGTGTGCACAGTGTCTGAACAAACTGAATTACGAGGGAAAACCTGAACCAGGCAGTAAGCTGCATTCCATACATTTGCATGGACAGAGGTGAAAAAGTCATGTTTAATGGCCGTCTTTGACTAGAACAGTGAGATAGAGTTAGGTTAC